CGAAGATTTGGTAGGTTGATGGAGAGTGTAGAATATACGTCTCACTCTGGTCGTGTCAGGAGATAAGGCTGTCCGAGTATGGGGCAAAGTGGAAGTCGAACAAGGCGTAGAAAAGAATTCCAACGTCCTTTCTCCCTCAGTTTTTCGGCGCGTTCTCTACTATTCGCATAGCTTCTTCGTCCATGATTTTTGCTTCCACCAACGCTGCAACCGCATCGCGTATCCAAGTCTGACAGTTCCTTATCTCCACCTTCTTTCTCGGTACCTACCACATCCAGTCAATCAGCCATCCCATAAATCGCTTACACATCACAAAACTCACCTTACTATCCGCAGCGATCAAACTTGGCCCCGGCGGCTTTACACCCAACACGATCTCCTCAAGCCTATCTCTCGCAACTTGATCAACAGACCACTTCCCGTCACCCACCACATCGACAACATGCTCGTCCGCAACGTCCCCCAAAGAGATGAGTTGGTGCCGCCTTCCATCAGCACCAAGTTCGTGGTTACGTTCGAACTCAATATCAAAGCCAGATGCTGCATCGCCGGTTGCGTTGAGATACGTTCCTATTTGAGGGTCGCTAGACGAGGGGTCCGGGATCCAGAAGCCCCAGTGCGCGGGGAAGAGAGGGGAGTTGAAGACCATGAGGTAGATTGATCGGGGCATATTCTACTCTTCGGTGATGAGTGTGGAAGGATTGGGGTTGAGGCTGTATTCGGAGGTTTTGCTGGCAGGCAAGGGGGTGCGCAGCGCTAATGCACTGTGCCGCCCCCGCGATCAGCGTTGCATACCTGAATGTCGTGCTAGGCATCAGCGTTGTACTCGTATACAAGCAAGATGCTGGAGAATCTTTTGGATAACGAAGTCTCTAGTTCCTCAATATGTTGCGGTAGACATTCACAAGTCGCCATACTACTGCAATACTAGAAATCGCACTCCATCCTTGCAAGATGCCGGCTCTGGAGTTACCAGTCTGGCTTCGCATGTTCGTTCAACTTCTCAACACTCTTTATATCATACTAACACCATCCAGTATTCTCTTGGTTCTCACCGTGGCCTCCTTCATACCACAACTTCACCGTACCGTCTCCAGAAAGAACAGTTCGGGCATATCAACACACTACCTTCTATTCAACCTCATCTCAGCAACCGAGCAATTCGCTTTCACGTTCTTCTACATCGTAGATCATATTCGAGAAGACAAAGGTTTTCACCGCGAACCCGTAACCGTAGGGAATTGGGTCGATCTAACACAAACCGTTGTTGTACTGCTGTACTGGCTTACCTCGTATGCGCCCGTTCCATTCCCTCCCCTCCTCCAATTCACGTAACACAAACACTGACCATCCCCGCCCGCAAAGCTCAATTCTATACCTTCACTACCCTTCCTCTTACCGCGACGTCTCAACAAACTCCGCAATAACAGCTTATGCAACGTATTCCTTCCTACTAGTCTTCCCCATCTTCGTCGATGCCTTCTACGCTAAGGATATACACTGGTTTTACCACATCATGTTCGCCTGGGCATGGTATGGCGCGCACATCCTCTGCATCAATTGGATTGTCATCGGTTTGGTTATCGCGTCGTTTCTCTGGCAGGCGAGAGCGATTCGTGCCGAAAAGAATGAGGAAGAAGAGGAGGAGGATCGGGACGAGGCGAAGGAGGAGGCGCTGAGCCGTTTGGGGCTTGCGATGCAGGCGGTGGTATTTACTGGGGTGGGTGTGGCCTGGGGGTTAAGCGTCGAGATGCCTTCGCGGTGGGAGTGGTACAATGGGTTTTTGGGGTGGTGGGATGGATGGTATCATTATGCAGGCTGGGCTGCGGTTGGTTATGTGATGTTTGTCGGTGTACAGGCGGGCTTGCTATGGGAGGTGATGCGGGATTGCAAGGAAAGCAATGGATGTGATGATGATGAGACGGAGCCGTTGCTGCACGCATGAAGGCAGTCTTAAGGCCCTGCTAAACTTTTACCGATTAGAAACGAAGTGATTAGCCACTGTTAGGTTGAAAGTCCGGCAAACCTCGTTGGTGAAGTCCCCACCCAAAATTGCTACCACACTTGTCTACCCGCACTGCGCTCCCTATGATCAACGAAAGACGCGCACTTCATTTCACGCCAAATTCACATCCAATCTTGTATCTATTGGCTTCTCTCACAGCAACAATCAGTTCATCAAAGGTATCATCAAATCTACATCACACTCACGCCAACGCGCCCATCGGGTCCCACAGCTCCAGCATCTTCGGCTTCTGCTCGAGCACCTTCTTAATCGTCGAGCTGACAACGCTGGGATCGACGACGGCCTGGTACACAAACTCATCCATCCAAGCATCGCTCATGACAAAGTAGCCCTTGTCACCTGCACGCTCACTCCACGAGTTCTCCACCCTCCAGCGCACGGGCTTGCCGTCAACAACATGTACAGCCGTCAGCACCATAGCATGCGTCATCTGGCTCTCACCGGTCTGCAGACGCTCCGCCTTGGACATGCCGAGCTTGATATTGAAGCCGAGCTCGTACTCGAAGAGATCGGTGTCCATAATTCCCTTGGTGGAATCGGAGTACTTGCCCACATCCGAGCCAAAGAAGACGGGCATGCCTTTCTTCAGCATCGCAATGCAAGCATCTTTGATGGTCTTCATGTCGACATTCACATACGTCACTGGTCGGCCGTTCCAGACGTTACCGAGTCGCTTCACGCTGAGCAGACGGTTGTAAGGGTTGCGCGGGTCGTTTACAAGCGAGAAGAGCGAGTGCACGTCCGTTCCAGACAGCGCGCGGACGGTCTTGTTGTCGGAGAGTTCTTTCGCAAAGGCGGTGGGTCGCGTTTTGACGGTGCAGAAGTTGCCGTCCTTGTCATAGTACTCCCAGGTGAACGGCTTGGTAGAGCACGGGGGAGGTCCTAGCATCAGTGTAAGGATTAGGTGGATTTCACGCAGCATCTTCTCCTTCTCTTCGGCAATAGTCGCCTTGATCGCGTCTGGCGATGCGTTGCTGGATGCGATAGCACGTAGACGGACGGCATCTTCGCGCAACTTGGTGGTAATCAGACGGTCCATGGTAGACGAGTTGGATGCGTTGAACGAGTCTGGGTACAGCGAGTGCGGTACCAGACCATACTTCTGCACGAGGTTGGCCACCATATCCCACTGTCCACCGTCACCGACAGGGCTGGACATCAGCGCCTGCACGATCCGGCTGTCAATCTCCTCACTCTTTGTGTCCAGTATGCTTTCGAGGAAGTAGTTTGCCTTCTCAATCTTGTCCCAGTAGAAGAGGTATGCCTGCGACAGCTGGAACTCGGACAGCTTGTACTTCTTCATGATAGCGACGCGGAATACGTTGGTGGATGCGAAGAGCCAGCATCTTCCGGATGAGGCTTGGTTTGTGACGGGCGAGCCCTCGAAGGGAATCTTGATGTTGAACTTCTGGGTGTCTGCGATGACAGCGGATCGGGATGAAAGTACGGCGTTGGCAGAGTTGGAGCTAAGAGCTGCGAGAGCGAGGCGGTTCTACAGAGGTAAGTAAGAGACGGTACAAGAGCTGTGTGTAGTACCTTTGGGTCTTCCATGAGCTCCTTCTCCCACTCTGACACTGAGGCGGCAGATACATCTTGTCGGTACTTGACGCCGGGGGTGTATCGAGGTGCTTCGACAGTTAGACTTGGTATACCATTCTAAACGCCATGTAACGTACGAGCCTCTCCGCCAACAACCACAAACCCATCCTTCTCGTTCATGGGTCGTTCATCCTTCATGTGGAGCGCCTGGAGTCGCTCCATCAACTTCTCATTAACAGCAGCATCGGACGGTCGTGACTGGTTGGAACCCATGATGAAGATGGGGACAGAACTTGCGGACTATCGTACAGCTCTCGATCAAGAGATAGCTATGTGTTGTAATCTGGGGAAGCTCTGGCTGCCCATCAAGGTGTCGCTCGTTATCGCGCTTATCGGGCGGGAACAACGCGTGCATGGGTCTCGTGGCAGCCCCACTCCGATCAGATGGCTGGAGCGGAAAGTGCCCGCCTCCATACCTTCCACATTCGATCGACGTGCATCGAAGCATGATGCTTACACCGGTGTACATGCGAGACAGGCCGACTTGTGCACAACTCAGCATGCAGATACACGTTACTCACGACTGTTGATCGGGTACTGGAGTCTATCGTTGCCTGACTGCCTCAGCCACGACGCTGCGACCACCGCGCTATTACCGCGTACGAGGCTACGAGCATCGCCTAACGGCCCATCTCCACAGACCCTGAAACTCGTGACAGCCGTTTTGCTTCTTCATCAGGGCAGCGAATAACATTACATCGCACCAAATCAAACACTTTTAACGCGCATCCAACACATCCTTCACCATCTACGCGTAGAGGCGATGCTGCAACACTGGTCCCAACCGGCGCGGATGCTAAAAGAGGGAGATGAAGATGTACAGGGCCGAACGCGTGTTTCATCACGGCGCCGCAAGGCGTTCCCCTGAGCGTACGCATCACAGCCCAGTCAACGCGAGTTCCCGAAATATCGGTGTATCTCGCGCTCAGCCCTGCAAACAGAGATTTAATTCCTGGTTTCCTCTTTTTGTTGCGCAAACATTGCACCTAGCCACCGACAAGCAACGATAATCTCCAGCGGCACGATTCACCATGGCGCAACGACCGGTATTTTGGCAGAAGCGCGTTCTCGTGCCCTTCTGGATAGTGCGCATATGTATCATGCTCTTGATCATTGGAGCAGTAGGCATTTCGCTGAGCAATGTGAAAGAATTGGAAGACGTTATTCAACCCTCAGTCTCGTAAAGCACACCATCAACAGCGCAGACACAAAGCTCACAGCCAGTAGATTGCTCATTGTCATTATACTCTTCAGCTGTATAGTGCTCCTGATCGACATCCTCGCCATCCTGCTCTTCCTTCGCGATGCGCTGAAACCCGGCACTTTCCTCACCATGAACTCGTTCCAGACTGCGTTCTGGGGCGTCGCCTTGATCATGGAGTTTGCGGATATAGGTAAGGGCGGTAGCCATGTCGGGCTTGGATTCGGCGTCTTCGTATTGTACGTTCAGAGTTCCAGGGCGATCGTTTGCAGCACTAACACATCGCAGCCTCAGCTACTTCGGTCTCTTCATCTACTCGGTCATCGGTTATCGTCGCGCGAAGGCAGAGGCCAAACGAGGCCAGTACGCACCGGCGCACAACCCATTCGGGGGTTCCGTACCTGCTCAGCAATCATCTCCGTACAACAGCGCACCCGAATACCAAAATACCGCATACCACTCGCAGACGCAACCTGCTGAGATGAACAACCAGTATCTTCCGCCATACCAGAGCGGTGCTGCGACGGACTACTACCAGCAGCCGGTGAAGCCTGCTCATATCGTATGAGCGAGAGATGGAGATCTTAAGGATCTGGCGAAGTGCAGAGAAATATAGAGCATTTGGATCAGGCGTTCTGGCAATTAGGAGACATTGATACCACGGGTTCCGGATACTTTCACATGTCGACATGCCGCATGAAACTTCATGCGCAGCAGTCCGAACGATTCAGTATTCAATAATGGAAGCATAGTTCTTCGAGGAACGGGCCGTTTGATTACATGCGCGGGATGACATCCCATATGGTCAGTGTGAGGAACGGTTCCCTGAAAATCGATAGACGGATATATGAAAGACCATGAACCAAACTACTTGCATATCAAAATCCGTGAATGACACCTCAAGCTCCTCACACGTGCGAAAGACTACCGGGCGCTCCTGCCCATTTGAGTGGCTGCAGCCGAGGCGCTAGGGGTGACACCCCCAAAGGCTTGGAAATGTCTCCGTTTCGGAGGTCAACAACCACTCACAGCCCCAAAGCCGATGTTTGCAGCATGTCACGACCATGGTCATTTATGCGAGGAGCAATCAGATCGCTGCTACCCGCACGTTGTGACTAGACTGCGGCGTGTGCCATGGCTGTGTTCCTGACCTCTGTTCGCCCGTTCGGCTCGCATAATGCTTGGAGTATTAGCGGTGGATCAAGACTGGGGACTCTGTGGCTGGCTCAAGGATAGATTGGGAGGAGGGATTTGTTATAAACGTCAGGTGCGCGCTGTTTACTTGCATAGGTCTCAGGTCGCTCCGTCTAACACATTCGCTTCATCATCTTCCATTCGTTATTCAAGATGCGATCCTTCCTACTACTCGCTGCGGCAGTTCCTTTCGCCCAAGCCGTTCGCATCGTTCAGTCAAACGACGATGGTTGGTCAGAGGCAAACCTTCGCACCTTCTTTGACGTCTTGAACTCTGCTGGTCATGAAGTCGTACTGTCTGGTCCCGCCGAGAACCAGTCTGGCAGAGGTTGGTCGTCGAGTCATGGCCATATACACATGCTGACTTATATCAGGATCCTCCGACGCACCCCCGAAAACCGTTGATTCAGACGGTTGCATTCATGCGTCCTGCCCGGGAGGAAGCCCGCCAACCGGCGCAAACGCGACAGACCCTCGCTTAAACTACGTCAACTCTTTCCCGGTCACCTCGATCAAGGAGGGAATCGATGTCACTGCCCCCAAGCTCTGGAACGGCGCAAAGCCTGAACTCGCTCTGACCGGACCGAACGTCGGCAGCAATGTTGCTGTTCAGGTCCCCTTCTCCGGCACAGTCGGCGCCGCTGCATTCGCGGCAAAGACGGCTCAGATCCCAGCCATCGCCTTCTCTGGCGTGACAGGAGATCCTACTGCGTGGAACGCACCTACTCCTTTCCACAGCAAGGTCTATGCTGACCTGGCTTTGAACGTTACCACGACTATCATCAACTCTGGAAAGCCATACCTCCCAGCAAACTCCTTCCTGAACGTCAACTTCCCCGCTGTATCCGAGACCAAGTGCAGCGACCCCAGCCAGTTCAAGTACATCTTCACTCGCATCAACACGGGTCTTCTGAGCGCTCGCGATGCCGAATGGTGCGGCAGCACGCGCCTGCCGTGGGAGGCGGATGTCATCTTGATTCGGGGAAGCGACTGCTACGTTACCATCAGCCCTGGCGATGCCAACGACAAGACGACTATGAATGATGCTGCGGTTCAGACTGAGATCATCAACAAGCTCAAGCCGATCTTGTCGTGCTTGCCTTAAGCTGGGGATGATTGGGATGGCTGAGCATAAAGCTTTTATGACGTACATAATACTATGAAGGATAATGCCGCTTCAGAAATACCCTCCAATCCGTCCTTCATCGTGACGTGACCACCATAACGACCCTAATCAAGCAACTGAAGTGAAACCACGTGAGGCTGATGAGTCATCGTTAACATTAGGGTGAAGGCAGGTGTAGTCTTACCTCGTAACAATCAACACCGTCAACCAACCTGCAAGATTTACGATATCAACACCAATACCATGTCAAACCACGGCGATGTCGTAAGACCAGCACCGCGCACCCATAAATCTCTATCACTTGCAGCGCGCATGAAATCGTACGAAGCACAATTCGACCACACCCTTCCTCTCGACAAGCCCATCATCCTCCGCCTGGACGGCCACGGCTTCTCACGGTTCACCTCACACTTTGCACGCCCATTCGACGAGCGCATACACACCGCCATGATATCAACCTGCGCCGATCTCCTCCATTTCTTCCCCCGAGCCACTGTCGCATACACGCAATCCGACGAGATCACCTTGATCTTCCCAGAAGGCGTGCAAAGTTTCAACGAGCGAGTACAAAAGCTATGCAGTCTGAGCGCTAGCTACTGCTCCGTGCGATTCAACAAACATATCACTGATGCTCTGAAGGCCATTCCTGACCCGGAGGTCAAGGGCGATGTGGAAGAAGTGCTTGGAACAGCGCATTTCGATGCGAGGTTCTTTCCTGTGCCTGACATAGCAGAGGCGCTGAATAACCTTATTTGGCGCTGTCGCAATGATGCTGTGAGAAATTCTGTTTCTGCTTTTGCGAGGACTATGTATTCGACCAAGGAGATGAATGGGAGGAAGACAAAGGATCTTGTTAGTATGATGCTAGAGGAGAAAGGTGTTAGGTTTGAGGAAGCGGTGCCGAAGTGGGCGATAGAAGGTTGTCTTGTGAAGAGAGAGCAGTATGAACATGAGGGGGTGAATCTGAAGACTGGTGAGATTGAGAAAACGTTTCGAACTAGGACGCGGGTGGAGGAGAGGGGTATTCGCGAATTTGGAGATGAGGGGTTGAAGGTGATAACAAGTAGGTATTGGTAAAGTAACTTCGTAAGCTTATTGCTCTTCTGCGCGGCAGTCAGGCTGCGACAATAGCCACAGCAATCAAACGTCACATGCAACCCACTCGTATGTGTGCTTTTCTTAATCCTTTCTTAGTTAATATTAAATCCGCGAAGAATAAAGGTACATAGGTATACAGCTGCGTAAAGTTGTTACAGTGTGTTTGCGTTGCGATAATATAACGTGTTGCTCAACCGCTCCATTTGGCGTTTCCAGACCAGCGCAATTAAAAAATGAAAAAATAAAATAAAATGAAACAGAAAGATGTGAGTCACACACGCAACTCATACCTTATCTCCTCATGCGTAGAATGCTGCAAAAAAAGGAGTTGGGGCCTGACCGGGATTCGACTAGACGCTATTAGTTTGCGTTCGATTTCGAATCTTAATGGGTGAACTTACACCCGGGGCCTCCTGCAGAATAGGCTTATCACGGTCACGTGATTTCCCAAAGCAGGAATCATACCACTAGACCATCAGGCCGATGGATCTCTTGAAGAGATGATTGATGGAAGGTTGTGATTTTGATGTGTTTATATTGCGGGTTTTGTAATAAAGGGGCTGCGCCGAGAATTGGCGCATTAGCGTTCCGAAGCGAGACATGCTGCATCTACCCCACCTTAGTCCACTAGTCTCACTATCTTGCCCCTCGGATTTGACCCAAGAATATTGGATATTGCATTTTCATGTTTCCACCGCGACTCGTTTTTGCTCGACACACTTAAGACCCCAAGAAACTTTTCGATGCACTCGATATAGAGCCTCAACACCGCATTCATGATCTGGATGTCTAGAGCCTGCGTTGTCAATTTAGTGATCGCACTTGAGAACAGTCATGGGGTAGCAGCAATATGAAATCATAAGAAAGTGCAACACTGAAGCACAGCATGCGAAAAAGTTTACAATTTCAAGACCAACTGTGCGCCGTAAAAGCATGTACAGTACCATGAGCATCGATTCAGGTTCCGTGGCATTTGATCGGCCTCCTAGGATCCAAAGAGGTTCTCATCCCTCCAAAAAGAATGGAAATTTGCTCAGACAAATCATCAGAGTGTGTAGAATCACATCGTGGTATTAACCATAAGATAAGCGGCAGAAAGATGGGTGTAACGAGAGAATAGCCATCTCGACTAGAGAAGTTCTTGGAACTGTCACTTGGTCCGCAAACACCAATCTGCCAGAATAGATTCAATGAGTATTTGCACACACGCCGCATGTAATGGATGCAGAAAGCGTTCGTGCCTCATAGTTAAAAGCTTTATCACTGCCTAGAAACACTGCAACATTTGATTAAAAGCTTTGCGGATTGCGCAAAAATGGCGCGTTTTGCCTCCAACCATTCATTATTACACCGTCATACTCATGTATCTAGCAACCCGTAGGTTCAGGTCAAGCTTGCTTAGATAGTAACGGTATAATTTGTGTAGCGCGCTGTGTTGCATTGTGCAAGTACGTGTGCTTCTCAACTGAGTAAGCCCGGTCAACCAAATCACGATGTAATCGCTTCTCGAGCTGTCCAGGCCATTCTATCGTGAAAAATAAATCCTGCAATGCAAGGGACGCTGCGAAAGCCTGACGTGAATCCCATGGCAAAGTGGATGATTTTCTCCACAGCAACCGCTACCACGACCGTGCATGCTGCGCGGTCAGACTCTTATCATGGGAAAATGAAAAACTTCTCCATCTTAGATAACGCATCAAGCACAGAATTCCCATGTTTGCTCAGAATGATGTACCTCTGGCGTGTTGGCGACACTATCCGCAACCAATCACCACAACTACCACCCAGCCCTGTGTCTCCACAGCCCCGCATTCCGGATACCGGTTGGGAACAGGCGCGACCCACTCAGACCACGCAGGCCAGCCGTGCCTGCAGGTGCCAACATCGTGAGATTGATGCTCGTACGTCTGTGTGGCAAGCCCAGTAAGCTAATCGTTACTAAATCTTATGCCGTGTTTCCGTCACGCGCCTAGTAACAAGCTTTTGCCCTGCTCATCTGTAGCGGTTTCCTTCTAGGGTCTCAACGAATCGTGCGGCTGGGTCGCCGCGGAAGTCACGATGCTTTGTCGGTCAGCCAAGGTGAAGGAAGGGGAGGTACGCGTATGAGCTGCAATTACATCATGCCTGTGTGACATATACATGTCAGCACAGGAGCGCCCCAGCTCGTCGCTCAGCATTGTGTTTCCTCTTGTCTCACTTTCTTGCTTTCAACTATCAACTTGCAACCAGACGACATCAATCATGGCAGCTTTGCGGTCTTCGAGAATGCTGCTTCGGCGATTCGCGCGCCCAGCGCCACCTGCGTTTCGACTTCAGCCTTGCACCACCCCTCTTCAGCGCCGAGGGATCGCTTCACACCTGGACGCAACCTATCCGCAAGTTCCATACGAAAAACATGAGACTGTTGGAGAGAAGCGGTTCAGCCAATTCGACCTCGACGGAAAAGTGTTCGTGGTTACAGGTGCAGCATGCCGTCCTCCTCCCATCTCTAGAGCAACCAACATGCTTTTGTAACCCGTGTTAACGTATCAACAGGTGGAGGCCGTGGATTGGGACTATGCATGGCTGAAGGGCTCGTGGAGGCTGGCGGCAAGGTGTATTGTCTCGACCGGTTACCAGAGCCCCCTCAACCATTCCAAGAGGCCCAGGTTCGTCTCAAGAGCCACATCGGTGCGGGTCTGGAGTACCATAGAGTGGACGTCACAGACGAGCAGGCGATGCGAAAGTGCATTGGCGGCATTGCCTCGGAACACCAACGTCTTGATGGCCTCATTGCAGGTACAGTATTTCCCCAACATTTTCGAAGTCAAATACTAACCATCCATTCTCCAGCTGCTGGCATTCAGCAAGTCACACCCGCGCTCGACTTCAAGAAAGAAGACATCGCAAAGATGCTCGACGTCAACTACACTGGCGTCTTCCTAGCAGCTCGAGAATGCGCCCGTCAGATGATGGAATACAAGATCCAAGGCTCGATCTGCCTAGTCGCAAGCATGAGTGGCACCATTGCGAACCGAGGCTTCATCGCGCCCGTTTACAACTCGTCCAAGGCGGCGGTGGTGCAACTAGCACGGAACTTGGCCATGGAGTGGGGAAGGAAGAATCCAGATGGGTCAGGCGGTATCCGAGTAAACTCTTTGAGCCCGGGTCATATCGTCACCCCAATGGTGCAAGCCAACTTCGACAAGGGCGAGGCAAGCCGCGAGGAATGGGAGAACAACAGCATGTTGGGCCGGCTCAGCACTCCTGAAGAGTACAAGGCTGCGGGGCTGTTCATGTTGAGCAAGGCGAGCAGCTACATGACTGGGCATGATCTGAAGCTGGATGGCGGTACTACCGCTTGGTAAGAAGGCTGTTGTCGTACTGTAGGATATGTCTTTTGAGCGTTCTCAGCGACAGGTTGGCGTTGGTATGGGTTAACGCCGGTATGAGATAGTCTAGTCTTGATAAGCTTTCTAGAACTGTATCATCAGACTTCTGTCAAGTTAGCGCGAATATGTGGTCGTCTTAACATATTGAAGCTGGAAGAGTGATGGCAAGACACGCTCCTCCCAGTCGCTGTTCTGGTTCAGGGTCCGCACGCGCCTTCCCCACTCCGCGCTAGCTTACAGTCGGACCATCTGTCCTTCCGCGCGCTCTTGCGACAGCTGTACATTTCGCGGAGCCACCAAGAGGGCAACAACTCGAGTCCGCAAGCGCTGCAGCTCTCCACACATCCCCAATCCAGCATGGACCGGTTAGCACGTCTTCTCAGCTGCGTGCTGCTGGCAATCCTCCCCCTCGCCGCGGCCCTGAAATTCGACCTCCACCCAGTCGCACCACACGACTCGGCCAAGTACGAGCGATGCGTTAGGAACTTTGTTGCCAAAGACCAGTTGGTGGTTGTCACGGCGATTCTGGATGGATACCGCGGAGATGGCCAGAGAGTGGATATGCATGTACGTTGCAATTCCAGCGCCATGTCAACAGACCAGCACCATGCGAGCATTATACTGCCTGAAGACATTACTGACAACGACAAACAGATCCGTGACGCAATGGGCAACGACTACCACCGGCCCAAAGACGTAGTGGGCGAGAACCGCTACGCTTTCACCTCGCACGCCGACTCAGCCTTCGACGTATGTTTCGAGAACATCTTCACCTCGTCCGGCTCGTCCAAGAACATCGCACCCCGCCACGTCGAGCTCGACATTGACATTGGCGCCGACGCCAAGGACTGGAACGCCATCCAAGCCGTCGACAAGCTGAAGCCCGTAGAAGCTGAACTCAGGAGGATCGAGGAGACGGTTGGCGAGATTGTCACCGAGATGGATTACCTGAGGAGCCGGGAGCAGAAGCTGCGTGATACCAACGAGAGCACCAATGAGCGGGTCAAGTGGTTTGCGCTGGGCACGATGGGTATGTTGGTTGGACTTGGGGCTTGGCAGGTTGTGTACCTCCGCGCCTACTTCAGAAGCAAGCATCTCATCTAGAGGTGTGGAGTGGAGAGGAAGACTTGGAATATGGTCGTTTTGGTTAAGAAAGAGACGTCAGGTACGGATGGGTATGGATACGAGTACGGGGCGTTATGGCCTGCATACTTCACACACGACTGGAGCGGCGTTGGTAGGACATATCCAGATTTCAAAACATGTTTACAATAGTTCAAGACGTCCGAGCCCCTGCCTCAACCCCTAAATTCCTTTCTCTGGTACTCCTCCCATAAGGCCGCTGGCGTCCTCTCTTTCTCCACAGCCCTGATGTCTACTACCCATCCAATGCCCCTCGCCAACCCCAACAGAACCAGTATGACGATCCATTCCATCCACCCCTCCACCTTCCTCTTCCACCGCTCAACCCACAGCACCTCAGACCACATATGTCTAACCCTCAGATAAACCCCTTCTGGCAACGGCCACCCATACCATTCTGCCCCCAACATGTTCCTCAATCCCAGCACCACAGGCCAATTATCTAACTCCCAAAACACATTCCACAGCTGAAACTCTACCCACCAACGCCCCAACACCCATCGCGCAAACTGCTGAAGCGGAGGCAGTGTCGTGTTAGATGGTGCCTGGATAACGCCATTCAAATTCCAGAAGAAAAGCGCTTTCCCCCCATCCGCCGGATCCGTCCATTCCTCCACCACTACCTCGTCGTCGATATCGACCGGGAATCGTGGTCTGATACAAGATGGTCTGTGGTGCGCTAGATACTCTCTCGCTCTACCCCAGTTATGTCGTGCATACTTGGGGATCTGGATAACTAGTCCGGGTTCAGTCTTGTAATTGCCGTACACGGCTACCTCGCCACCGGATTCAGCGCTCAGTATCCTGGTTGATCCGTCTAGGTACACGAAGATGGAGCCGCGGAGGAGGTGTAAGTATTCTGTGTGAAGGGTGTGGAAGTGGACGCCTGATGTCCATTTTGAGTGGCGGGGCAGGGAGATTGTTGTTTTGGAGGTGGATTGAGTGGAATGGGGAGGGGAGTTGGGGATGTGGTAGGTCACTGCGGAGGGCCCTGGGCGGATGACAGGTTGGGTTCCTGAGGGAGGCGGGTCTAGGACTGTAGGAGAGGGGACGGGTTTTGAGCGATGAAGACGCCTGGGCATCTTGGCTGAATTTGCAGCGTGTCGTGGTATAAGCTGAGCTTCTTTGACTGGGGATCAGAGAAAAGGTGATGGAAAGGGAGATGTAGTCTTGAGTTATGCAACGTGCAGTGTATTCTCTGTGGAATGATCCAAGTCGAGGCCCTGCGAGGACTGTTGCGCAGTGTAGTGAGGTAGCTACATAATACATATATATCGAAATGTAGTCTGGCTGCCTAAGCATACTGTGCCGTAATCAGCAAGGGGCGGCTGACGTTTGCTAGGTACCTGGGTACTGCCAGACAAGCGGAACGAGTCCGCACCTGCAACGACATGTAAGCCATTATACGGAACTCTAGCGTACCACAATCCAGGTCTCGTTCTCGACAACGGCGCAAGCGTAATAATATTTATGTTTAGATTGATATCAGTACGTGGTGGTAGTGGTAATGCTTGTATAAAGCTGTTGACAACACAAACGCCTTAACCCAACCCATGTCCCTTACAAGAGTATCAAGGCAACAATGCCGTACATATGATATGTCCAATACGCCACGACACATATCTTATCAGACGCCGCGATAAGTATAAGCAGGACACCGCTCCTTTATCTAACCAAGTCGCCATGCTAGAACGAGCAAGAAAGAAGCAGCAGTAGTAGTAGTAGCCAGGCAAGAGAGGTAAGCTATGCATTTGAACGCCAGAAAACAGTATTCAAAAAGGAGGAAGTAAGAGAGAGACTGGAGGTAAGCGGGTGAGTTACTCGCCGTCCCCCTCGATCTCCTCTTCTTTGCCACCAGCAGTAATGGCAATGCGCTTCTTGGGCTCGCCCCACATTTGCTGTCGAACCTTCTTCTTCTGGTCGTCTCTGAGAGTCTTCAAAAACCCATATGTACCCGTCAGATCGTTCAATTGCTGGTCCAAACCAAAGCTGTTGCTCTGCGCAGCGCGGATGAGAGGACTGATGAGGTTCTTGCGTGCTTTGTCTAGCTGGTCCCTGACTGAATGAATGATTTGGATATGCACTTTCAATTCCGATTTGTTGATGAGTGTCGATGCGCGCACGTCTTTGAGTAGCTTGAGATTCTTTTCGTACTTTTTGATCTTCATCTTGTTGTTGATGGAGGTGCGCCACATGGAAGCGAGGAACTCGTCTTTGCGGTTTGCGAGCGAGTCTTCTTCTTTGGCGACGGAGCGGTGGAGGTTGTGGAATTGGCGGTCTACACTCTCGAAGAGTTGGAAGAGGACGTCTGCGCGCGCGAGCTCATTTGCAATGTTCTCTTCTAGAGTGGTCAGGAGGTAGTCGAACGTGCGCTGCAGGGTAGCTTTCGACCGCTGTTGTGTAGTGTGTCCAAGGATATCGTTGACAACACGGCCAACGGCTGTAGCTTCGCCGTTGCGCTCAAGCAGGCCAATCGCGTTGAGGCCGCCGTGGACATTGTCGATGACTGTGTCAATCATGCCAACCTTTGGGCCTTGAATACTTGCTAGCTCTCGCTTGGCCCATTCCATAGTAATGAGGATGCTACAGTTATCAGTAGGTGTACGAGGTCAAGAAGGCTATACCTACGAGTCCATGTCGCCATCTACGTTGGTAAAGAAGCTGGTAATCTTCTCGGATAGGATCCTGAGACTATCGCCTAGGTCGTCTAGCTGATCGATGATGACAGGCGACGCAGACATGTTAGTCGCACGGACGCTCTCTCCCAGGTCTTGCACGGCGATACTGGCGTCTGCGAGCTCGCGCGACCGTGGAATGACACTTTCTGAAGCGTATAGCAAAGGCTCAAACTGTTTCGCCATGCTGGCGACATTGGCGACATCTGGAATAAGACTGGCTTGCCAGGGATGTAGTAATAGGTAAGACATTAAAAGAGTCGCGACAGTAAAGATGAGGTTGGCTCTTGACCTCGTAAAGATGTGAAGGCCACTTGCGAAAGTGGTGATTGTATCTTCGATAGGCGCTGTGCGGAACTTAGCTTCTCCTCTGTACGCAAAGCGCATGACTATGGCTGTCAGTATACACAGCGCGCATTGGGTCTCAGTACTTACAGCCTTCGACTGGCCCTCCGTCGTCATGTTGCGACAGCGTTGACTCGGTCCCCGCCAATGCGCCCGCGCTCGCTTGCGGCTCTTCCTCCGGGCTCTGTAGTCGCGACGCGATGTTGGTCGACATGTATCTCTGCTCCTCCTCGGGAATGGGTTCTGGGCTGGTGCGCGGTGTCTGCTTGTAGGGCGACTCGGGCAGTGGTATGCGCGAGGGTGTGACGTCGCGATCGGTGCGGTACTCAAACGGCGACTTGGACGGGCTGTTGCGCATGGCGCTTTCACCGAGCAGCGACTTTCTGTACCAGTGATTGCTAGATTGCGACTTTTGCCATGCTGGAGGCGCCCATGGCCCGTCCGACTCGGTTTCACTGTCTACCTCGTCCTGGGGCACGCTCCAGCGCGACGAATGCATGTTGGAGCGGCCGCTGTAGGCCGAGTGCATGCTGCGCTCCGGGTCGAAGGCTTCGAGCGACGCGCTCAGCGACGGTATGTCGTGCTCGTATAAGCTGCCGCGATCGGTTGTGTCCATCATGGTTTGCGCGCAGTCGCTGGTGGCGGAGGAATGGGAGGAATGGGCGGAATGGGAAGGCTGGTTCGCCGTCTCAGCTATGCGGTACTACGGGCGTGTCGAGGCTCTGGCGGGCACATGGGAGTACCCTTGTGACGCGTGAATCGAAGCAGGAACGGTGCAGGTGGTGGGTGCCTAGCGCTTTGGTCAAGACAGAGTCGAGAGGGAATGCGATCATGGTGGAGGAGCCCACAGAGAGTCCCCGTATACCGCCGATAAGCTAGCCCGCCTATGCGAGCGCATCTAATCGCCCGTGTGCTGTCCAGGGCTGCAGTGGGGTGAAACGGAGTGGCTGGGAGCTGAGTCTTGATTGGCTATCATCCATCCGGGCTAGTGCGGGGAAAGGCGACCGTGACCCCGTGACGCCCTGCAGCACGCATTCCGTACCCTTGCAGCCCACCATGCCCGTCCGAGTAGTGACGATAACATTAAGCAGCAAGCCCTTAGTCTTTGCGTCCTCAAGCTTTCGAGTAGAGTCCAACATCACTCATCGCGGAGGGTGCGCATTGCGGAGTTGCTGCCCTCCGATTGGCTGTCATCGCTGTGGAGCAACACTGCGGGACGGGGGCGAGCGACTGACTTACATGATATGCACCATACTGGGTACTAGCTCCATCTAACGTAGCAGTGACCAATGAGCAATGCCCGACGATCAATGCAAAGGAAGAGTGCAGTCAAGCAAGAAACAAACCTGTCGCCAGTTCTAGATGGGCACAGGTGGGGACAGCTGAAATAGACGCGCAAATGGAGGCAAAAGCAATGCGATCTCAAGGGTGCAAGGTGTATACATCGACTTGGAATGTTTTCCGGCCAAAACCATTCGACACCCTGGAGCTGATCAATAACTTCTACATTGAAGTTAAGCCAATACAAAACACACTGACTTCCTCCGGCTACCTCATATCCAACAAGTCTGAAATTTGATCATGACGGCCGTCTGCAGCGGAGCAAGGAGACGGCAGACCAGCTGCTCAGGAACAACTTTGGGCAGTTCAACGGGCAGCTAGATTGGCCCATCGGCATTGCCATGGTCGACCAGCAGTGCTTGTGGAAAACTAAGCTTGATACCGTATCCCTGCTAGAAGTAGTGTGGAACGGCTGGATGGGTGGCCCTTCCATCGACGAACTTTTCGAATGTGACGTTTGTACTTTTATTTCCGTATACGACGAAACCGATGATGTTGTGCACCTTGCGTTCGGTTCCTTTATTCTCCTTGTTGCGGCTGTTGTGGTCTTTGGTGTGATTTGTCTCGACCTTGACTTTCATGAAGAAGTCCGAGACCTGCTTAACTATACAGTGCCAACTTCTTCGACGGTGATCTGGTACGTGTTCCTTCTACGAGCGTTGGCCAGTCCGATTTCCTCGTTATCTGTTGGCGGAGGAAAACGATCACTACCTTTGGGATTGTATATAACAGTATATTCCAAGTCGAGTTTCAACTTGGCTAGAGACGCAACCTTGGAAGGTTCTTGTTCCAGTCGGTGGCAATATTGGCTGCTGAGAAAGGCGGCATACTTAAAAGGTATTCGATCAACCGCCTCTTCTGTCCATATCGTTCTCGAGCTTGGTGACTTGGGCATTGGGCTGCCGGAACTGGCCATTGCTGCGTGTGTTAGCTTGATTTCTGTGTTTTGACTGATTCTCATATATGCGTGGCGACTACAGAGGTGTAGATACCGTTGAAAAGATATTCTTGTATATGCATGGCAACGGATCGAATTGGTACAAGTGACTTGAGTGATAGGGACTGGAAGAGACAAAGCGTAGGATATTTGTTACGAGATCGTAACTGCTACAAGAGCGATGGAGTGACGGGCAACTGAGGCCAGGGCTCGTTCGTGGTAGGCTCAACCCGAAGCCCAACTACAAACGGCCATTAACTTCGTCTCACCGGTTCTTTCTACTATGTAGAACGCTCCCTACGAATCAGCTCGTTCTGCGGAAGTCGGAACCCAACCCGCACCCTGAAGACATATGCTGTACTGTACATCGGAATTCTGCACAGTACAATGTATTGAAGGTATCCAGGGTAGATTTTGTGCGTGGGCGCATGTGTCGTATCCTTGATCTGGCAACATCAAATCATGGTGATGAATTGCCGAACGCGTTGGGTTGATCTGGGGTAGAGGCAAACTGCGCACGGACGCTGTAGCGCGACATCGGCTTGAATATTCGGCGTCACTTTGCAAGAACATCACCAAGCCGACTCCACAACACATCACAATGCCGCCACGATTAAACGTCCCCGCGATCACGCGCTCGATCGCGTTCCGGCCAAGGCCTCAGGCTCAATGGCCTGCTCGGTCAGCGCTTCGAATGGCGCCGTCGCAATGCCGCCTCTACTCGGATCAAACCAAGCCTCCCGCCGCCGACCGATCGAAGCGAGAGGACGCAAAGCCAATTGAACATGTCTCGGAAGAAGCAGCCTCGATGGCCAAGACAATGGGAGAGGACGGTCCCGACCTCAACCAGGGCACAGCAATTGAAGATGTGGGGTCATCCACAGCAAACATGGCAAGGCGAAGGCTGACAGTGTGCTAGGTAGTCAAGGGGGACAAAGAGGCGCAACAGAACCTGCCCAAGGTGATGCAGGACAAGCTCAACTCGCAAAAGCCCAAGACGACACCGAATATGGCACCCAAGGGCTCGCGGTCCTATTCAACTATGACGACACAGCCAAGTGGAAACAGCGGCGTGGACATGGGCCTCGTAGACTTCCAGGCTGCTTCAAAAGCGCCCACGACGCCAGGGCTCAAGTATGAGATGCCCACTCTGCCGCTGCCCAAGGACGGCCATGTCAAGCATCGCCACGATCCCGTAGTTGACCAGGTCACCAATCTGCTCATGCGACACGGCAAGAAGAGCGTTGCGGAGCGAGTAGGTCAGCCAGCCTTGAATCACAGCCTACAAACAACTGACATGACTTGCAGAACATGGCGCTGATTCTGCAACACCTTCGGACATCACCGGTTCCCACCATTAACCCAGCACGACCTCTGCTTCCTGGTGCGCCGCCACCATCGCATCTACCCCTCAACCCTGTGCTTTACCTTACTCTCGCCATTGACTCTGTCTCGCCTCTGATGCGCATCCGAAGTCAGCGTGGCGCTGCTGGAGGTGGTGTTGCCCTTCAGATCCCCGTTCCGCTGGGTCAAAGGCAACGGCGACGTTCTGCTATCCAGTGGATCCTGGCCGCAGCTTCTAAGCGGAGGAATATGGGCAGTGGAAAAGGCAGCTTTGCCCAGCGTATTGCGCAGGAGCTCATTGCTGTAGTACAGGGCACGAGCGGCATCTGGGACAGGCGCAATGCTATTCACAAGCTTGGTGTTGCTGCACGAGCTAATATTGTTCTACCCAGGAAGAGGTAGATACTCTTAGTCAGGGAGCGTCTGTGTATAATATATTTATCGATGCCATTGCTGCCCCCATGTGCGTCTTTTTTTCGCTTTACGTCGGTTGATTCGGGAATGATGCGGTAACTCTCATTGTTCCCTTGGCTAGACCGCAGGAAGCTCCACATGAATGTCCATAGATGGAGCGACTGCCAGCACAGCCACACCCCGGGCTGCTTCACTAATCGCCAAGCATCATATGAAAGATGCACGCTGCTGTTGAACTGCTCAGATATTCGTGCGCCTTGATAAACCAAGACTAAGAAGAATCTATTTCAAAGGCTTTCCATATCTGCGCGTTGCTGCCTATCCATATCAAAGTAGCCACTCGTCCCTGCGTCAGCGGCGTGGCAGTCTCTAGAGATCTTCGCCTGCCAAGCGCTGCCAAACCGCCAGATGTTGAGGGGAGGGGTTTCATGCCCACTTCGCACCCGCGACCATCGACGCGCGCTGACTGTTCGTGCATAGCTTCATCGCCTGCTGCTCGCGCTTTGACTTCCACATGTCGTCCGCCTCCATCAACCTGCTAGGGAACAACTTGTTCTCCGACAGCGGTTAGCTACACTGTATACTACGGTTCGGCCCGCCATCGCTTTCAGCTACTGCCAGCTGCTACAGTCTTTGGAATTGCTACCCCACCGCTGCTATTAGTCCATCCCATCACGCGCTCACCCCACATCTTTCCAGACGACTGCGCTCGGGACTGCATCGCTGCTATTTGTAGCCCCTTCACCCGACAGCACACAGCACCGCCTATGATGCCATAGCGCGACGCCAATTGATACCTTAATCACTTCTGCTACCCCGCGAGCACGACCGCGTTCTACTACCAAACTTCCGCTTCGACCAGCCGCCAGCCTCACTCACTTACTCCACAAACTCCACAACCCGCACTCCACACGCGGCTCCGTGTCTTCTCGTCCAGTTGCACACCGCCACCATGGCGTCACTCGAAGCTGCTATTGACGAGGAAATGAGAGAGGTCGTCAAGATTCTCGAAGGCAACCAAAAGCCCGGCGCACGACGCGCAGAGAGCCCAACCGCGCGCGCGCAAAGTCCTGGCTCCGCTGCCTCGCCCATTCGCAGCATGCTGGACGTCGACTCGCCGGCCCAGCGTAGGAGCTCCAGCCGCGGCAGCACTGGCATCCCCTTCGCCATGCCCTCGTCACCGCGTCGCGTGAACCCCGAATCGGCGTACAAGTTCGAAATGCTGCCCTCCATCGACGCACATGCCATGCCTAAGCGAGTCTCGCAGGGTGGCAAGCTGGATGCCGCTGCGAAGCCGCGTGCCATGTCCTCCGTCTATGGCAACTCCAGCGGCTTCCTAGGAAACTCCAGGGATAGGCACAACTCCGCGAGTGGGCCCTTGGGCAGATCCAAGTCTGGCTCTCCGGGGCCAGGCCGATCTGCCTCTCCAGTAACGCGCATGGCAAACCCGACGCCGGCCGCACCGACATCGAACAATACCTTCGTCACAGACTCGGGCAAGCGCATTGACATGGACAAGGCATATCGCAAACTGAACGACTCTGCTTTGGCACAATCTGAGGGCGGATTGTCCTCACTACCGAATCGCAAGGGTGTTGATCCTGTCAAGGGCACGGCTACCGCGCCCGGTGGGGGCGTGCGCCTTGCGACAGACGACGACGGCGAAGATAGTGCTGCTGTCGAGAGTAGTGACAATGCCTCGGATAGCTCAGACTGGGAAGACGGATGGAACAAAACCAAGGAGAGAAAACGAGGCAGGCAGCGGTCGAGGAAGTCATCAGGAGGCACCGACAGCATGGGCAGAGAAGTCATCACTGCTAAGAGCCTGCTGGCTGCCGCCGAGCAAGAGCGTAAGCATTGCAACCTACCTATATTGACTTGTACATCTCACTAACTTCACACAGGGCGAGATGTCGCCGTTTCCTACAAAGTACGATCATTACTAGACCCCAACATAAACATTACTGGCCCCAACGGGGAGAGGATATCAAGGAAGGGTTCGTCGGGAGTGGTACATCCCCATACCAGTTTTGACCAGGGCGGATCTGGTCTTTCGACCCCAGTCCATTCAGATCACGAGGATGAGCTTGCCGAGATCAAATCAGCCCAGCAGCTTTCGCTGAACATCTCACCTATCCAATCCAGCCCAGAGGCTCACCGCTGTGTTCGACAAATAATCCGGGGCGACTACGTTCAGTTTGCTGAAGACGCGAAGAATGGATTGAGAAGACAGCGTGTGTATCTCGTGTCTACTGATCTAAGTGACGAAGCAGCCTATGCTTTGGAGTGGACCATCGGCACCGTTTTGCGAGATGGTGACACTCTACTCGCCGTCTATGCCGTCGATGAGGAAACTGGAGTCGCAACCACGGATGCTTCAGGTGCACCTATCAGTCAAGGTACTACCGGACGGCAGGAATCTGATCATCTCAAACGGACGCTGTCGAACCATGACGGGTTGCCAGCCACAAGACCTGGCTTCTCCGCGCTATCCAGCTCCATAATGGCTACCGAGGCCAACGTGAAAAACATGGGAAAGGCGGAGAAAGACAGATACCAGGCATGCGTAGAGGTGTCGGACCGGTGCGTCAAGCTGCTAAGGAAGACCCGGCTGCAAGTGCGTGCCGTCGTTGAGGTGTTTCACTGCAAGAGCCCCAAGCACATGATCACTGAAGTGGTAAGTTTTCGATCTGGCATCTCTTAAGCGAGCGGTTTGCTGACAGGTGCTGGACAGATTGACTTCTTGGAACCTACCCTGGTGATCCTGGGGTCGCGAGGCCGCAACGCGTTGAAAGGGTGAGTTGATCTTGACAAATACCCCTCCGCACTTTCTAACTATGGCAGTGTTCTTCTCGGATCGTTCAGTAACTACCTTGTAACCAAGTCGTCGGTACCAGTCATGGTCGCACGGAAACGGCTCCGGAAACACAGCAAATACAAACGGCAGAACGTTCGGATGTCGAACGTGATCGCGGGCTCCAATGACAGGCTCGCAAATGCAAAGATCGATTGATGCTCGTTTGGAAATTTGTCAATTCGCGTTTTGGAGGGTGTTTTGGTCCGGCGGGTAGCTGCCATCGCAAGCCTGAGATTTGAGTTTCCAAAACGTGAGCGGTTTGGCCGGCCAGTATCACGTGTCTGGCTTGGTAATGGCTGGAGTCTGGGTTCTGTTTCTCACAACACATGTATCTCTACACAGATCGGGGAGTCAATCTCGTGCCGCGAGTCTATTTTTATACAGATCGTGCTCAGGCACAGCATGCTTCAGCATCCTTCCGCGCTGGGACGATCCATGGTAGGGCTTAGCCTCTTCATGACTTGACCGTTCAACTTCGCATGTCTGCTGCATCATGATCACTCTTCGCTAGAACAAGTTTGTCCGGAAAATTACGTACCGTGTGAAATTACAGGATGATGCATACCATATTGCTTTTTTCCTTCTAGAACTTCTAGCGCGGCATGTCGAGTCCGCAACCAGGCGTTTACCGGAACAAATCCATGAGTCTGCGTGTTTCAGCTCGTGTTTTTTCTTTTGCAGTCGCGACTGCCCCTTCCGAAAGATTGCGACGTCACCTGCTTTGCACCTGCGAGGACCGTGCGGACCCGTAATTGTACCCGAACATCTGGATCGCTCAAACTCTACTATATCCAACTACGCCTTATGCATCCTAACGTATCGTCAAAGGGCAGCCAAGCCTTCATCATACCCCGCAAATACGCAATGCGGTAGCAGGTGCGCGAGGGCCCGCTTGTGGCGCCAGTGGGCTGACGGAAAACGTTCATGCATGGCACCGTCCTCTCAGCTTGTCTACCGCTGGCCCCAAGACCAGAGCACGGCTTTGCGCCGGCGCTCTTGGGTGCAGAAGGAGGGATCATGGGTCATGAAGGGAGAGCGAGGCCATCGTAGTCAAAAAGGTCTGGGTGCCTTGTACAAGAGTCCAGTCCATCATCGAACACCAACAGTTTTCCTATCAAGCGAGCTGGATAATGTATTTTCCCATGGCTTTGTCAACACCATTTCAGTACTACTCTCGGTTCGGACAGTGCAACTTTCTGGACATCGACGAAGACGAGCTGGATACTTCGAGTCTTACTACACGGACTGTCAAATCTGGTGCACGAGAGAGTTTGATCAATCAGCACAGATGGACGGCGCCGTCGTTCACCACCAACATCAATGCGACTACCCTCTTGGCGAATATCAGCCGTCTAGCGCCGGCACTCACCAAGGAGTTCATTCCCAAGGACCATCTGGAGGCCACTTTCCCCTTCCGGTTGATCAACGACGTCGAGTTCCGTGGCGAGGAAGAGTCGTATATCGCACTCAGCTACTGCAGGAAATCTTTTACCCTAAACGCACCGAGAAGAGTCGTTACACCGGTTGGAGATCTTCCTTTCGGATGGCAGAAGGAAATCGAGCAGTTCCCACTACCGACTGGTGCGGCATTATTCGAGGCTGTTATCAGAGAAAAGAACAAGGGCGAAGGGCTGTGGTTCGACCAAGTTTGCCTGGAACAAGAGGATGAGAGCGAGAGGACACGGGTTGCCGGTGCTATCGATGTCGTTTACAAGAACGCAAGGGCAGTCGTCGTGGCAATAGACGACGTCGCCATCACACCAGACGAGGAACAGTTTCTACGCTACTACGTCGAGCAATACAGCTACTCCCAGGTACCTTCGGGCCAGCAACCAAATGCAGGACTTACTCCGCCTCTCATGGAGCAGTTCAGCCCCCTCAAGACTTTCTTGGAACGAATACTCAGCTCTGAGTGGTTTGATCGCGCATGGTGCGCCCACGAGATGAAGATGGGGCGAAGTCATGTTTTCTTAGTACCTTGCTTGCGGCACTACGAGGATGAGGTCCAGACAATCGTACGATTTACCGGAGAGTTCTTCACTCACTTACTGGTTCTTGCCAGTGAGCTCACTACCTTCACAAACCCAGTCTCGATGAAGATCCGCTCGCTTCTGGCGTTCTTCCAGGAGCT